CATGTTCCCCTGTTAAATCAAGACGAAAAATGTTGCTAAGCTCCTGTACTACTAAGAAAGTGATGCTAGTTACGGCTGAACCGAAAATACCACCACTATTACTACTTCCTTCATTTTTATATACAAGGCTACTATGGAATATATACATTTTGCATCTATACAACGCCACAAACAATAACCGAAGCAAAATTAATAATATTTTCTCGTACTAAGAATTTGTCTAATACTTGCATGCATGCAGTCATAATGACAGTCAGCTACTTCCTCCACTCAGTTTTTTTGCATGCATGCGAAGTATTAATGATCTCAGCAGACTAGAAGAAAAATTGACTTGTAAAGCATGCATTAAATTTTATATTGACTTGTAAAACGGCTACGGCTACAACTTCATGGCGCCGGTCCGTAGGGGCACATGCATGAAGACTTTCCAGTTATCATTGACAAGGTTAGATTGGCTCTGGCAGGGGAGCGGTGACAACGGCGCATTCTAGTGGCAGTACTTGTCGTTCGGTTATCCTGGAATGTCGATGTAATTTTTCTTATGTTTGAGATGCTTTGTGCTTCCGGTGAACTTTCATAACAAATCTGATCTTTTCCTGATGTTTTTAAAATGTAGAAATCAAGCTGAAAAGGGCACCGGTTAATAGATCAATTTGTATTGCATCTTCCAAGGTATAAATGTTTGGTGCCGGCTGGCCGGCTAAGATTTGGGCCGTCCGCCTCACACGCACACGTCGGCCCCACCACCGGTTTATCTCCTCTACTTTATCTCTAACCCGAAAACGACTTGGACCACTTATTCTTCGTCTCCTACCTCCAGATCCCCTTTTTCCTGGGCATCTTCTCTTCCCATGAAAACAAGCCGTCTCCGGTCTCCCATCAATCCACACGCCTGTGGTGCTATGACTGTTGGGAAACATTGCATGGGAAACAAAAAATTTCCTACGAAAACCCAAGATCCAATCTAGGAGATGACCATCTATGAGAGGAGAAATTGGATCTACACACCCTTGTAGATCGCTAAGCAGAAGCGTTAAGAAATGCGGTTGATGTAGTCAAACATCTTCGCGATCCAATCATGATCTGTCCCGCGAATGTCTTCGCAATCCAATCACGATTCGTCCCGCGAACTCCCGATCCAAGTGTCGAACGGACGGCACCTCCGCATTCAACACACGTAAGGCTTGATGACGCCTTCACCTCCTCAATTCAGCGAGCGATGGTGAAGTAGTAGATCGAGTCCTCCGGCAGCATGACGGCGTGGTGGCGGTGGTGGTAAGAAATCTCAGCAGAGCTTCACTAAGCACTACAAAGAGGAAGAGGGATGCGAGGGAGAGGAGAGGCAGCGCCGTGGCGTAGAGATGTGCTCAAGGGTGCGACTGCCCTCTCTCTACCTCTCTCTATATAGTGGAAGGGAGGAGGGGGTGGCGCCCCTAGGGTTTCCCCCTAGGGGGGGAGGGGCGGCCAGGGCAGATGGGATCTCCCCTAGGGTGACTTGCCCCCAATCCAGGAGGTGGGAAGCCCTAGGGGGGGTGCCCCCACCCCTCCTAGTTACGTGAGATGGGGTGAGGGGGACGCTCAGCCCCTTAGTGGGCTGGTTTGCCCCCTCCCCTTAGCCCATGAGCCCCCCCCCCCAACACTTGCCGGGGCCCCCCGAAACCCTTTCGGTGACACTGATCATCACCCGGTATCCTCGGAATAATTTCGACTCCAATACCATTCCGGAGTTCTTCGTCACGTCCGGGATCTTATTCGGGACTTCGAACAACCTTCGGTAACCACCATAATGACTGAACTATACTTATATCGTCACCAAATGTTAAGTGTGTAGACCATGCGGGTTCGAGCACTATGCAGACATGACCGAGAAACCTCTATGGTCAATAACCAATAACGGGACCTGGATGCCCATATTGGTTCATACATATTGTATGAAGATCTTATCGATTGAACCTCGATGTCAAGGATTCAGCTAATCCCGTATGCAGTTCCCTTTGTCTATGGGTATGTTACTTGCCCGAGATTCGATCGTCCGTATCTCCATACCTAGTTCAATCTCATTATCGGCTAGTCTCTTTACTTGTTCCGTAATACAAAATCCCGTGGCTAACTCATTAGTCACATTGTTTGCAAGCTCATGGTGATACTGTATTATGGAGTGGGCCCTGAGATACCTCTCCGTCATACGGAGTGACAAATCCCAGTCTTGATCCATGCCAACTCAACAGACACCCTCAAAGATACCCGTAGAGCACCTTTATAGTCACCCATTTACGTTGCGATGTTTGTTACACACAAGGTACTCCTCCGATGTTAGTGAGTTGCATGATCTCATGGTCATAGGAACGTATACTTGACATGCGTAAAACGATAGCAATAAACTTGACACGATCATATGCTACGTTTATAGCTTGGGTCTTGTCCATCATATCATTCTGCTAATGATGTGACCTTGTTATCAAATAACTACTCATGTCCATGGCTAGAAAACCATAGCCATCTTTGATCAACGAGCTAGTCCAGTAGAGGCTGACCAGGGACATCTTGTTGTCTATGTATCCACACATGTATTTGAGTTTTCGATCGATACAATTCTAGCACGGATAATAAACGATTATCATGAACAAGAAAATATGATAACAACCAATTTATTAATGCCTCTAGGGCATATTTCCAACAATGACCCCCAATCAAATTGCAACCATCCCTTGCGCTGCGAAGAGGACCCTGAGTGTACCCCCGCGACAGAGGTGCTGAGACTGCGTGCCCGTGCTGTGACGGACGGCGATGGGGGGTGACCATGACTGCGGCTGCAACCCGATGAGCGGACGGCGATGCTGGAACCAGCAACTAGTTTTGCTGCAACTGGCGAAGCAGGAGCTGAAACCAGCATCTCGTTTTGTTGCAACCGAGAGCAGAGCTGGGAGCCAGCAGCTATTTCTGCTACAACCGTCATCATACGGAGTTGCAAACGGCCACGGAGAAGCTAAAACCAGCTGCGAGCGGGTGTGTTCATGATCGTTGGCTGTGGTAGAGGAGTTGCCGTTGCTTTTTTTGCGTCCAGGGGCGTAACCAATGCTACAAGCGGTGATTCTTTTTTTTTCCTGGAACCGGCAACGCTTTGTGGTGGAACAGGCGACTTTTTTGCTAGATACAAGATGGTGAGTGGCTTTTTTGTTGCAACCGCTGGTTTTTGCTTCCCCCGTTGACAGATTTTGGTGCTACATTAGAAGAGGTTGTGCGTAATAGAATCGTGGGGCTAACACGTGACCAGCCCAAAGCTAGCCCCGGCCGACCGGCGCCTAGCCATTTTCTAATGTGGAAGATGCCTTTTTAAATTTACAGTGTGGCTCCTGTGGGCATCACAGCCTACTACTCACTGGTCGACGAAGAAATGGACAATGCACAAACAACAAAAGGGCCGTGGACTCGCTTACACCACATGCCTAATTACTACTGCTCTACTGGCTGGCAGGAATGGCTTTTAAGAGAGATCTACAATCCAGTACTGTCAAGAGCAACACTACAGGTCGTGCGCATAACATCTTCAAAGCCTTTTCTTGCCATAACCCCTTCTTTCCCTTACAAATGGCTCTCTGTCAGGGCCACGTTCCCTCCCACGCTCAAATGATCTGAGCAGCACGGCACGAGTCCAAACGAGCTAGGCAAAACATGTTTACAAAGATGGGAGGGGAGATATCACATTCACAACCACGTGGACATGGTAGCAGTGGCAGTAGTAGTATGCATTGCTATGCCATTGCCATGCGTATGCACCTCTTGTTTCCATGGCCCAGCAGTACTATAGTAGAGCACAGTGAGCGCTGCCACGCCAATTAAAAGCAAAGGTATAAAGGGTGCACAGGCACAGTGCTTGCATGCATTAGACCCCTGCACAGCCGCTGAATATTCCCCTGCCCCGGCCCCCAAGCATTAACAGCAGCGCCCAGAGTTTGAATGGTGCTGCATCTCATCTCGGCAACACTGTGATGCGCCTGTGCAGCCAGCCACCCCCATTCTGCTGCCACGCGACTAGTAACAAAGACCACACACCACAAGGCCCTAGCACTACTGCAGCACCAAGTATGACCAATCAGCCCAGAGAGAGAGAGAGAGAGAGAGAGAGAGAGAGAGAGAGAGAGGTGGCACACAGCTCGTCTCATCCATCCACTTGCAGCTAGCGGAGATGTCATAGATGCAATCCGATCGTCTCATGCTAGTACATCTTGTTTGTTTGGCACTCATGCCCTGGTGGTACCACCACCACCGCGTCCTCCTCTCTATCTTATTCCTGCCGTGCTGACCTAGAAGTGGAGAATGTCCCTAATGCTAATTGATTGATATGCAAACAGAAGCATTAAACACGAGCGTGCAGTGTGCACACCTGACCAGAGCCTACACTCCGGATGTGCATGCGCTTGTGGGGATGGGGAATTTGGCAGGTACACCTCCGTCCCGGTTTATTAGACCCGCTTTCATTTTGAGTCCAAATTTAACCATGAATTTAACTAATAAAATGTAAATTATATGTCACAAAAACTATAGTATAGAAAAACCTCTTTCAAATACAAATCCAACAATGTAATTTGGGTAGAATATACTTTATATTTTTTTTAATTATATACACAATCAAACTTGGACTCAAAATACAAAGGGACCTAATAAACCCGGGCGGAGGTAGTACTGAACTTACTAATTTGAAAGATTGTTTCTTCTATTAAGGGCAGTGTGTCAAATTTGGAAGATGTGTTCACCTGGTGTTTGGGAATTAAGGAGCGACACAAGAAACATCAATTGCCTGGACATATGCATTGCAACATTGTGCTACTACCAGTGTGAGTAATTTTCAGTTACCCGCAGAAAAAGAGAGTGATTTTCAGTCTCAGACACCTTGGTTGCAGTGCACACAATGGCGCACGAAAATGACGGTCTAGTAACAAGAAACACAGACAGGAACAAGAGCAAAAACATTAGTACTAAAAACAGACAGATTACAAGCATTACAAAGTGTAACCGATGCATTCCAGGCTCAACAAGACATTCACCAAGCACATTGAGGTGCCTAACATCACAAACGAGCTCCTCCACGCCAAGAATGCGTCGCTTACAGCCTCTGGATACAAACGGAAGAAGAAGGAAGAACCACAGACGAAACAAGAGGAAGGGAGGATATTCTCGGAGGAGGAACAGTAACTAGTTAAAAGATGCCTAGAAAAGAGAGAGAGAGAGAGAGAAAGAGAGATATACATATATCTCGGACCATAACGCCTCAATTCCCCACCGCACGCTCGCACCGGACGCCTCATGCATGCTCCTAGTCGTGGAGCAGAGGAGGACGACGCAGTGAGAGCTCAATGCGAGCCGCTAGCTCGCGCGCCCGCCCGCCATCTCCTATCCGCAAGGCTTGCCGCCGTCGGACTCCTCCGCTCTCGGGTCTCCAAATGCTGGCCAGGTCGCACCGGCTGCTGCTGCTGCTGCAGAGGCACCGAGGAGCTCCATTGCTGGGGTAGGAGGAAGATGGGGCATTTTCTTGAGAGGAGGAGATTACTATTCAAGTGTGAGGGCGAGAAGAAGATGCTAGAGAAAAAAGGATTAGTGGTGTTTATATATACACACATTGCTAGAAGAGTGGGAGAGGGAGGGAGAGGCTGACAAAGTCCACACCTTTACGGGCCATTGCAAAATTCATTCATTGTGGCATTGTACCACCGGTACCATGGCACAGTACATGCCTACATGCTCAGGCTATGTCCATTATGGTCTTGTCTTGGTCCATACGCAGTGCCAGAGGGCAGGGACATCTTCCTCACATGAGCTGTACGCCGCTGGTAATGTAGGAGCGGTAAGTTCAGTAAAATGCTTACTCGGTTAAGCTTTGCATTGCTCGGTCATGAATTCATGGTAATCGAGCAACGTTTTGGAATGTTTTGGTTAAGGCAGAATATTTTGCTTGGTTAAGCTTTGCATTGCTCGGTCATGCATTCATGGTAATCGAGCAACGTTTTGGAATGTTGCTCTGAGTTTGCCCAGGGACGAATAGTGATTGGCTTCGCATTAAACAAAGGGAGATGTGAGGCATGTTCCTGGGAAAACGCGGAACCGCACCTACACGGACTACGGTGCACATTGGGCTCAGCAAAAAAAAAAACTAAAAAGTTTCATTATGCATGTGTTGCCTAACTTGTGCAATTCTTTTGGTGGCTTAGGCTGGTCATAGTGACTAGTATCATATGCATGACATTAGTCTAAGTTACTACCCCGTAGTGCAAAGTATCTTAGTAGTAGTGTCATAGTTTGTTTCATTTATTGCCATATAGACTCATTTTATCTCGGGAAGCGCTATGTTACAGTAACATATTATGTTACTCCAAGCACCTCTCTTCTCATTAAATACTTGCCACATAAGCAAAATTGTTTTGGCATGTGTTAAGTTACTACCTAAGTTACCCCCACTATGGCTAGTCTTACTAGTAGTAGTACTAATCAGTTGAGGTACTGTAATGTTTTCTTTTATACATTTAGCGACCTGGATAAAAGCGATTTTTAACATGTAAATATACCTCGCAATGTCTAGGTATACCTTGTATTTGAAATTTGTAGCGTGATAAATTGCTGTCAATTTATTTTATTAAATATGGACAATACGCTTCACATTCTTCTATTAATTGGGTTTTTGAATGAAATTTAGTTGTATGAACTTAATTATTTGGAACTAATATTATGAAAATTGAAACAAAAAATTCATATGATTCATTATAGTTGATTATTGCATAGTTGTAAGAAGTTTATTAAATATAAGTACCATAGTACAATATTTTATGCATGGTTGCATGTTGAGTGAACATTTTCTTATGAATGGTTGCATGTTGGGTCGACCTTTTCCTATTCATGATTGCATATTAAAGGTGACAGCATTTGCATGTTGATAAAAATAGGCCGATCAGGTCACCTATTTAGTTCAAGCAACTCTAGCAGATTCTCCTAAAGAGGGCTCTTAAAACTATTTTTACATTGTGTTCTAAAATTTAAAGGCTCCGAAGCTACTGTGCAAAGTCAAACACTACTAGAGAAAATCCTAATAGTAGGGCGGGGTAATGGACTAGCAGTAGCACGGGGGCCGCGCTACTGCTAGCGCGCTACTGCTAACTTTTAGTAGTAGTGTGGGCCTGACCCAACGCTACAACTGCTAGTATTAGTAGTAGCGTGGGGTAGGACCCGCCCTACTGATAAATAGCAGCAACACTGATTGTTACCCCGCGTCATTACTATTACTGTATATTTCATTCATTATATTTATACTGTATTTATACACCCTTATATAAATTTTTTACATAGTAGCAACGATATAACAACACATCATCATCGTGGTCATATAACAAGTAATCATCATCGTGGTCATATAGAAACTCATCATCATCGTAGTCATATAACAACCTCATGATTATGATCATCGCAAGTTAATCACTACTAGCTAAGTGTTATCATCCTAGGTAAATAACTTCCTAGCACATGACAGGTACTAGCAGGACCTACTCCTCTCTCTTAGGTAAAATATAATAAAACAGAAAAAACCTCCTTCTCCGTTGTGAAGCATGGAGATCCACCGATCTTCTATTTGTGGGCTGCGCTCGTTCACTATTTTTCTCCATCCTTTGATTGTGAGACCTTCATCTATTTTAGTAGCCGAGTATGCACATTTGACAGTCTCTGTCCATGGATGTACGCTAACAATTCTCATCTCACATTCGACATACATCAACATAGGCACAACATCGTTCGAAGCTTCTGTTGGAGAACATAATAGCAAAGTAGTTAGCAATGTGGTTTACTTCAAAAGAACCTATGAAAATGATGGACTAGTAACACAATAGTAAAAAGATATTAACATGATATTTGCACGAATGTTACCATCGGTCAACTCGTGGACTAGTGGCATGTATCCACTATAATTTTGGCCAACTCCATAAATGATCTTAAATTCCAGAACATCATTAACAAAGGAGACAAGAGAATTCTTCTCCTCCCAAGTTAGCTCTGAGCCATAACTGTAGTAGGTCTCGTCTATAATCTGTCATGTATCTTTGGAAGAAAGGAAATAAGTTGTCAATTATTAAAAAAAGTTTAGTAGGGATGAATAACAACTATTTTTAGATAAGCAACATAGATTATTTAACAAATTTCTTTAACAAACTCACACAGAGGTAGAATCAGCATCATGTCCAGATCCACCCAAATGCCTTTATCTTGTGGAATGCCAATATTGAAGGTTATTTCCATATCCTCCTAAATTTGTAGGCCTTGCATAATCCTTCCCATTTGAACATCCAAAATGTGTATGACCTACTTCATTTTAAGGTGAGCTTTCTTCGTGTCCACCTTGTACATCTCTTCGAAAGAGAGCTTCTCTAGGACATAAGGTCTTGCATTGCAGGGTATGCACTAGTTGAATTATAAAAACCGCAAATTATACGTTAAAGCAAAAAAAATCTTAATCCTTGTTTAATTAAGAAGATAAATGTGTCGTTGAAGTTACATACATAAGAGCGTGAGGGAGAAGCATCTATCGTTTTCCAAGTGAGGCCTATCACGCATACCCCCATCGTCGGTGCAGTCAAGGTGCTCGTGGATCCTGTCGTTGTCAAACATTTCATGTGTTCATAATTCAAATATTAAAAATCGACGACAAACACCATGAACTCAACACACAGATCACTAGTCAGCACGTGTTGACTTTCGGTCTGTCGAGTCTCCCTTGAAAAACTCTCATCTCTGGTGTTGTATATGGTGGGCACTCCCTCGATAGTCGCTCCTCGCTTCTTTCCCGAGTGCATTACCAAAAGGTTTAGCACACAGGAAAGAAGGAGAAGCGACCCCATGACAACAATCGGAATTCTCCCTCACTGATATTCCGACCGTATATGGTGGACACTCTTGATGTCTACTATGCAACTTTTATTCTTGTACACTTTGTTGGGCCTCCAAGCACAGAGTTTTGTAGGACAACAACAATTTCCCTCAAGTGGATGACCTAAGGTTTACCAATCCATGGGAGGCGTAGGATGAATATGGTCTATCTCAAACACCCCTACAATTAAATACAAGAAATCTCTTGTGTCCCCAACACACCCAATACAATCGTAAATTGTATAGGTGCACTGGTTCGGCGAAGAGATGGTGATACAAGTGTAGTACGGATAGTCTTGCCAATTTTTACGGGAGTTTATTCAATAGTTTTAGCAGAAGAAAAAGGCGAGCTTAAATTACTAAAAAATTCTTCCAGCTTATCAATCCGAGAAGGACTCTCTCTAGTTCTTTCGTTAATTATGGTTTCCCTTTCCCTTAGTAGTCTGAAAACATCGCCCGCTTCTGACCCAAATTTATTAGCAAAATTCTGCATCTTTGTATCCAAGTTTTAAATTTTCTCTAAGGTGACCATCTTTTTTTCAATAGCATCTAATATTTGCATAACATGCTCAAGAGTTAGGATCGTTTCATTAATAATGATAGGTGGTGCACCCAATAGATCTCTCATGGCACTAAAAGCATCCAAAGATGGACACATCAAGAAATTACCACCGATAATCGTATCAAGGACAAATCTATACCAAGTGGTGATGCCCACATAAAAACTGCGAAGGAGAATAACGGTAGATTGCTTACAAACAGATCTATTATGAGCATTGCGAATTCTATACCAAGCATCTTGTAGATTCTCCTCCCCCTTTGTTTAAAATTAAGAACTTCATTCTCGGGGGTACACGCAACAGAGGAAGAACTAGCCATAACGACAAAGTAGGCAAGCAAGTTTGCAAACAACAAGATATATCTGATGAGAAAAAGGCGAACGATAAAGAGAGCGAATAAAGTGGCAAATTTTTGTGAAGTGGGGGAGATAAAAACGAGAGAAAAATGGCAAATAATGTAAATTGCAAGGAGATGAGATTTTTTATTAGGAACCTGATAGATGTTGATGATGTCTCCCTGGCAACAGCGCCAAAAATTCCTTTTGATGTCACTTGAGACTGCATCGGTATTTCCCCAAAGAGGACGAGATGATGTAGTACAACAACGGTAGGTATTTCCCTTAGTTATGAAACCAAGGTTATCAATCCAGTTGGAGAACCAAGCAACACTATGTAAACGGTACCTGCACACAAAGAACAAATTCTTACAACCCGACGCGTAAGCGGGGTTGTCAATCCCTCCTCGGGCAAAAGATAGATTGGTTTGTATGATTTTGGATAAATAGATCTCGCAATAACACAAAATAAAATAAATAATAGAAAAGTGCAGTAAGGTATTTTTG